AACTGGCGGTCCTCCAGGACGTCACTGCCAAGGGCAGGAGCACCCCCGACAGACGGAGGACAGGCAGGGTCAGAGACAAGAGCGGTGGCGTAGTCAAGGCGGCGGGTAGAGGCGAAGTCAGCGACAGCAGCGACAAGAGCGTCAAGGCACGAGACCGGAACAGACGGGTCGGTAACGAGAGAGGCAAGGACCCGAGGAACGAGAGGACGAGCGGCACGAAGGTAGTCGGACAGCGGGGGGGGCACAACGACAAGGGAGGACGGAGGAGGCAACGGGAGAAGGGGAGGACGAGACGCGTGGGAACGAAGCAACATAGGGTGGGAGCGCAAGACAGGCGAGGCAGGACGAGCACGGGAGGGGCGGTGAGACCAGACGTGCGACGGAGGAGTCGGGTCAGGAGACAGGGGAGGGGACACAGGAGGGGAACGAGGGGGAAGACGAGCCGGGGACGAGTCCGGTGGAGGGAAAACAGGGCCGTAGACAGGAAGAGGAGGAGACGGTCGGGGAGGAACCGACGCAGGGTTGGGGGACGGAAGGCCGAGCAGGCGAAGGGCGGACACCGGCGGGGACCGCTGCTGCGGCGGCACAACGGCGACACCTGGACCGCAAACTGCTCCTCGGCTACCACCGGCACTCTCCACACCAGCACCCCCAGAGGGACCACCCCCAGGGAGACCGGGACGAGCACCCCCAGAGTCAGCGAACGGGGGCTGCGACGGCGGTGGCGGCGGCGGCGGCGACGACGACGACTGCAGCAGCGGTAGTGGCGGTGGAGGAGGGGACTGGGGAGGGGACACCTGGGGAGGGGCGGCCGGCGAGGACTGCACAGGAGGGCCACCAGAGTCAGAAGACTCCTCAACCGGGTCTACGGACGGAAGGGGGGTGACGTGGGACACACCAGAGGGGGCGGGACGGGGAGGAGGAGGAGGAGGGGCAGGGACTACCGGGGAAGGAGTGGCCAGGAACAGGGGGGGGGTAACCGGGGGACCACGGTGGGGGAAGCGACGGTAGTAGGGGACAGACTCGTCAATCGCGAAATCCTTCGAGTCACATGCGAGAGCACGCGTCCGTGTCCCACAAAAGTTAGCGAACTCCATCAACGAAGTGACGAAATCATGTGCGGAAGCGTAATGGTGACGAATGATGCTCGAAGACGGCTGATGGAACACGCCACAATGTCTGACAAAAAATTGCAGCACAGCTGCACTGTCAGAAACCCAGTCACTAACCACTGGGTTAAAAGGGCTTGTTAAATAACAGATAAGTGCGCACATGACCCCCCAGGCTCTGCACCTATGGCCCTTCTCCGAGGATCTTATTAAGGGTAACCCAGCGGGTCACTCGACACCCCCCCTCGCTGGGATAGGTGGAAGACACAAGCGCCTCTGCAGCGCTAGCACTGGGACTAGAACCCAATACCTTTGGCTCTAATGTACCATGTCAGAAACCCAGTCAGTAACCACTGGGTTAAAAAGGCTTGTTAAGTAACGGGTACGTGCGCCCATAACCCTCCAGGCTCTGCACCTGTGGCCCTTCTCCGAGGATCTTTTTAAGGGTAACCCAGAGGGTCACTCGACATGCACTTCTCCCCCCCTGCAGGAGAAAACAGCTCCCAATATCCCAGGTAGAATGCCAGCAAAACCCCAATGCTCCAAGGTAGGCGCTGCTGAAAATTCTTATACTCAGCTTCCAATATGTCCCTGCAAAGCTTCGCTCCATGTAAAATGTCTTCAGGGTAAACCGCGTCGAAAGTCTAAAAATTTCGCAACTACTGCTCCAAAAGACTCGCGCACGAACATGAAGTTCTTCAAATGTCAAAAACACTGCTTGCGGGCTGGCCCGAACACAGCTCCACAGTACTGCTGCAAAATCCCATTATTTGATACGACTTCTGTAGATTCGAATGGTGAGGCGAGATCGTGGTCACACAATCAGGCGTATGAAGAATGGAGGTTGTAGCGAGTGATGGCGAGAGGTGGACGACGATGTCGATAACCTGTAACCTGTACCGAACCACTCCATTGAATATCCTCGAACAGAACTTGGTGTCAAATGACGCCAGCTACATCAGCTTATTTGTCCGTACACGCCGAAATTTTCGGGAAAAACCGAAACTGTTGTTGCGCTTCTCCTCCTCGATGCACCCAAAATATTCCGAGAATATCGGTCGATGTTGCTCGTACCCCTGAAGATAGCGGGCACAACTCCAGCTGTAAACGATCTAACTGCTCCTCAAACTCACCGAAAATGTCGGAACCACTCGGTACTTAACAAATACCGTAACTCTGCTTCACAACAAACCGTAAAAATGCCCAGGCGTCACGGCGTCCTTAAGCAGCGCCCCCACGGTATCTCCACCAGCTTTACGCATGAACTGAACCCTTTATCTTAGGGTTTACCGGAGTCCACGGCCTCGGCATAATGTTTTTGCTGTCGATCAGGGTCAATGCGCATCATACGCCGTCGATCTCCGCCCAGCTGTTACCCAACTCTAAAATACTCTGGTACCCCTGTTCAGCTGGCCGTGCAGACGTTCACCCATCTTGCGGCTGCTGCACGTTACCCAAAACCGCTTCGCTGCTGCTTAACTAACTAGGAGAATCCACAGAGATAGGAGTGCGCACGCTTCTAGTCAGAGGAGCTTTAACGAGCCTGCCTACTGATCGCTCAACGGCTCCCTCCTCCGTCGAAAACTCGTCAAACTACACCCGCGAATGTCGGAACCTCTTTCTGCTGCACCAGGTAAAAACTCTCAGCTCCACTGAAACAGTAACTCCTAAATTTTCGAGGACACTCCATCAGCATAGTGTAGTTCGCAGGTTCACCCCCCTTATTCAGCTAGAAGTCGTCGATTAATGAGTCGACACTTCTACCTGCTGGGAAGGGTGATTTCTGGGCGACGTAGTTGAGCGAGTAGCAGCCCGAACACCGCTAACCCATCTAATCTAGTAGTCCCGTCGTTCTTCTCCCACTGCTTCAACTCCTGACAGTTAACGCATTTGGCAACCGGTGGAAAAACACGTAATACACACCCAGGGGTGGTGGCCTCTGTTTCCGTTGATCGTGGGGGTATGAATCGCTGGTTCACGAAAAACACCTCCCCACGCGGAAATTCGCCCTTGCTGAGTACACTCACTCCAGCACAGCGTCATCTCCTGCACATGGCCGTCGTGGTGAATAGCGCCGAGGTCGTAAATCCCAGCTGCTGCAACACAACTGCACACCCACACGTCCTTCTGCAATCGTGTCATTTCGAAATTGACGGATCCGCCCATTGCCGAAACAGTTTTGAAGTCCCGTCCATCGCCTGCAACTAGCCTGCCGGAAACGCCGGGACCCGCGACACGGCTACAGTTCACCCTGCCGCTGCATGGCGTAACAGACGTACATCGCCGTACATCCTGTCATTTTTGCCACCCCCGCCGCGCTCCTGACGACCAACTCCCGGCCCTCTGAGGACTCCCGTGCACTTCTCTTCTTCCTGACGAAGCCTTCGTTTTTTTCGGAAGCCAATCCGAAGACTCCGTCCGAACACCCGAAAATTACGAAAGCTCTAACGAACATACCCGAAAAACACGGCGAAATCGTCGTCCACTCTTCGACGGGAAATAATTCAATCTACGCCCAGGGAAGGGGAGGACCGGCCAATCCCAGCCGTCCATCGGGCAGGATCTGACGGCATCCGCAATGCCCGCGCAATTAATTTCCGCAACGTACGCTCGCCATCAGCATCCTTCCGCCCCCTTCCCCGATAGGGTCTACTCCCCTACCAGAAGCCTAATGGGCAGGAACTTAGCTCTGATACTAGCTGTTATGAATTATAACTCATAGTATAGCGCAAAATACTATAAGGAGAACGTGATTACAATGTGTCCTATCCAAATGACGCCTAGGGCTTATTTAGTGCCAGTTGACCAGGTTGAATGTCGAGGGTTGGACTAGTCAAGGGCTCGATAGTCTTGAGGGTGACAGGATCATAATGGGTTTGGGGCGACTTGGGATCAGGTTGGGGCCGAAAAGGTTGACGTGGGCTGGTTTGGCGCGATAACCCAGGGCCGAGCCTGCGGACGCACACTGTTCACTTGTACTCGCTGTGGCGAGCCCCAGTAAGGAATCGTACTTCCTTACGCACGCCCGAATCAGTACACTTCTTTCGGTTACGTATACAAGGTGTTTTTTTTCAATAGATTCGTTTAGTCACAACCGAGACCCGATGTAATTATTATAATGCATAATGAAACCGAATGGGAACGGTTTGTATCATTTCATGATTTTTCCTTCACTGTTTTGTTCCTTAAACGCCATTAGTGTGATGTGAATTCCCCTCTTTTGAAAATGTAGTAATTTCTACCCTAAAGTGAGTGCTTCTAGTTGGTGAGCAGTGATTGTCAACGCAGCCACGTCAACGGTTTTGACGTGGCGGCCTCAGCTCCCCTCCCCATTTCCTGCCGTCTGCCACACAGCAATTGCAAACAGCACGAAAAATGCGTCTCGTCACCGACACTTCCTTGAAACTCGTCAGCTGGTTACCCGTCATCGACTGTGTTCGTCATGGCCATCTCCCTCGCGCTAATTGCCCCTCCAAACCCAAGTCTCCTGACGGTGCCTCGTTCTAGTTCGCATGCCTCGTTGCGAGCTTCACTCCAGGGAGCCACCACAGCAGATTCGGTAACCAGGGCAGGAAGGAACTGTGGAAATCGCTGCCGCTCCAGGACAAACACATCAAAATGTGCGCAAAGGCGGCGCGTCCTGGACGGGCGAAGAGGAGGGAAGTGGCGAAACAAAAACTCGCGGCTTATTGAACGAGAGCTGCAGCCAAATTCCTCCCCGTTGACATTCCAGCGAACCGAGCTGCGAAAGGGAGAAACGATCCGGCGAAAAGAGCCCGCATAACAGCTGGAAATCTTGCTTGCTGGTAACTCTGAACGGGTAACCACAACGCGTCACTTCCATCAGCTTCTTGGCTGGCTCTGGGCTCAAATCAGCCATTTTTTGTGAAGGGTTTGTCAGCAGCAAAATCAGCAGGCAAATGGGGGATGTCGCGAGAACTGGTTACCGTGAAGCGTTCGACTCCAAAAGGCGAAGTCGAGAAGAGTTTGGAGCGGCGGTTTGCCTGACAGGGCTCGTTCATAGTATCCCTTCACAGATTACTAGCAATAATGGCACGATTAGTTAGGAAAACTATGTTTCACAGTCAATCTCCAACTATTTTGCTCGCTTTCTGGCTGTGCTTCCACGCGACAGCCAAAACAAGTTTCTTAGGCGAAGCAAAACATTCTTTAGGAAAACTCACTTCTTCCGTAATCGGATCCTGCACTAACGGGAACGCTAACCAGACTGCGAAGTACAACGGGCTGGTGGTAACCAGACAGCTCACCAGAGGGCTCAGATCGAACGGCTACGAGCTATTCTCGGAGATCCTAAATGATACAGGTCTGCGATTCCCTAAAACTACTATTGATTCGAATAATGGTTCCTCTAAACTCGACGACCTTTCCTCCCGCTCTCGAACAGCACCTGACGCGCCAGGAATTCTCGCAGATCTCCCTGCTCTCCTCTTCTGTCTTGAAGCCACCGTCTGCCCACCTTCAGACGCCGCCATCCGCGCCTTATCTCGCTTTCTTACATCAGATTCCCCCCCCTCTCTTCTCCTCCCTTCCCCCGTTGTCTTCCATGAATTCTCGCAGATCTCCCTGCTCTCCTCTTCTGTCACGAAGCCACCATTTTCGCCCCTTCAGACTCCGCCATCTGCGCCTTATCTCGCGTTTGTTCCACCTGCTTCTTCTTCCCCCCCCCCCCCCCCCTCCCTCCTTCTTCCCTCCCCCATCCCCCATCCCCCCTCTCCCTCCCCTCCTCTCCAGACTTTTTAGCCGACCTCCCTGCTTTCCTCTCCTGCCGCGACGTGACAGTTTTCGTCGCTTCTGACGGCGCGACTCGATCCCTACCTCACGTTGATCCTCTCCCTTCCTCCTCCCCCCCCCCCCCCTTCCGTGTGTAATAAGTCGATTTTTTAGTCGACTCAAAAATCGACTTATTACACACGCCCCTACTGACGGCGCGACTAGACTCTAGTTTACCCAGCCCCACAGTTTTATGACGGATCCGTACCTCACGCTGATCCTTTCCCTCCCTCCCCCCCCCTCCATCCCTCCCTCCCCTCCTCTCCATGCCTTCTGGAAGATCTCCCTGTGTGATAGTGATTTCCGTTTTTAGTCGACTCAAAACGAAATTATTATCCCCCCTCTTCCTCCCCCCTCCCCCCCCCGCCCTCTTCCCTCCCCCTTCTCTCCTCTACCCCTCCTCTCCTCTCCCCCTCCCCTCCACTCCAGGCCTTCTGGAAAATCTCCCTGCGTTCGTCACCTGCCGCGAAGTGACCGTTTTCGCCCCTTCCGACGCCGCCATCCGCGCCTTACCTCGCGCTTGTTCCACCTGCTTCTCCCCTCACCCTCCCTCCTCTCCCCCTCTCCAGGCCTTCTGGAAGATCTCCCTGCGTTCCTCTCCTGCCACGACGTCACCGCTTTCGCCCCTTCCGATGCCGCGATCCGCGCCTTACCTCGCAGGGTGAAGCTTCACCTAGAGAATGACGTGGGGTTGTTGAGGGAAGTGGCTCTGCTGCACTTTATAACGGGGAAGAAACGACTGTGGAAGCTGGTGTCGCAGAGACGAGGACACCAGGTGAGGCGGGAAGGCAGGTGGCGAACCTTCAAGTAGTAGAGAGCGACGTGGGGTTGTTGAAGGAAGTGGCTCTGCTGCACTTTGTTACGCGGAAGAAAGGCTGCGCTCTGCTGCACTTTGTTACGCGGAAGGAAGGCTGCGCTCTGCTGCACTTTGTTACGCGGAAGGAAGGCTGCACTCTGCTGCACTTTGTTACGCGGAAGGAAGGATGGATGAAGCTGGCTTCGAGGTGACTTTTGAGTCGACTCAAAAGTAACATTGTTACGTGGAAGGAAGGATGGATGAAGCTGGTTTCACAGAGGAGGGGACACCTGGTCAAATCAGCCAGGCTGGATTACGGTAGCTAGTTTATCGGTGCCCAATCTCCTCCTTTAATAACAGTTATTAATTCATCCCTCTCATCCTCTGTGCCTCCCCCTTCCCCTCTTTCCCCCCCCCCCCCCCCCCCCCCCCCTCTTCCCCACAACACCCCGCCCGCCCTCTCCCCACTGTTCCACCCAGTATATGACTCCTGCGTTTAATGGCACTCAGCGGCTTAAGAAGGCTTCTCTTAGAGGGGACTGGAGTGTACGAGTGTACACTGACAGAGGGCCCAGGGTGACTGTAACGAGGGGCAATGTTGTGATGCTGAGATCTGTGGCTGTACAGGGGGTTAACGGGGTGATAAGACCCAAGGTGCTTGTAATGGGGACGAGTGTAGCAGGTGAACAAGCAGAGGGAGACTGATGGGATACATTCCAAATGTCCTACCTAGCCTGATCTATAATCCGTTAGTGTATAGTTCATGGAAATGCAGACTAGTTAGGTTATGCAATTCTTTTTTGTTACGGTACGTCAGTAGTCTACGGGTAATTTCTTCACAAGCTACACTGCAGAACCATAGAGCCCCTTGTACAGCACATGTACCGGCGCTTGGAACTAGCAGCACAGCTTATTGCCTACCCACCCACCCACCCACCGACCGACCCATCCACCCACCCACCCACCCACCGGCCATGCAATGTCCTGCCAGCTGATCGCCTCACCGCCCCTATTCAGTCGTCATAATCCATCGACCGCCTCCCCATAGCACATATCCAAACACTCTCTCAGGCAATCGCCGTGATCCCTCGGCCCATCCACGTGCATTGCCCTAATGTGTTCCTCCCCACCTTTCGCCTCACCGCCCCTCTTCAATTGTCGCAATCCATATCGTCCTCACCATTGCTCAGGTCCCAACCCAAGCACTCCTTCCTGGCTCATGAATGCGGTCCTTGCGTGTCGATTTCCTTCCCCATGCCTCTTCAATTGTCATAATCCATGTCCTAGTCCCCATTGCTCAGATCCAAGCACTCTTTCAGCAGCAATTCACTCTTCACTCTTCACTCTCCACTCGCCTTGCAGCTTGCTCTCCTAAACCGGCACAATGCCCCTTCAATTGTCATAATCCATGTCCTCCTCCCCATTGCTCAAATCCAAACACTCTTTCAGCGACAGATTCTTCTTCGGGCCGGTCAGCTTGCCGCCCGGAACGATCACGCGGTCGATGCCGTGGACGGCTGAGATCGTCAACAGCAGGGAGTCCGGCTTCGTTATAGTCACGTTCTTGCCCCCCTCTGCATGCAGCTTCACTGGCTTGACTCTCATCTCTGTGGATTTGAAGAGACCCGCCTCGCCATTCTTGGACGGGGTGCGCCACTGGGAGGGACAGGGGGAGGGAGAGCGGAGGGGGGAGGAGAAGACTGTGTGAGTAAGCAGACACCTTGTAGGCGCCCTCTGGTTGCAGCTTCACCGGCTTGACTTTCGACTCTGTGGATTTTAAGAGACCCGCCTCTCCGTTCTTGGAGGGAGTGCGCCGCTGGGAGGGAGAGGGGGGAGGAAGAGGGGGGGGAGAGGGGGGGTAAGAGCGGAGGGGGAAGGAAGAGACTGTGTGAGCAAGCAAACACCTTATAGAGCCCCCCTGCTTGTAGCTTGACTTGGTTGACTTTCATCTCTGTGGTCTTTAAGAGACCCGCCTCCTCATTCTTGGAGGGGGTGCGCCACCGGGAAGCAAAGGTGAGAATGGGAGGGAAGAAGAAGGCGAAGGGAAGGGAGGAGAAGGGGAAGGGAAGGGAGGAGAAGGGGAAGGGAAGGGAGGAGAAGGGGAAGGGAAGGGATGAGAAGGCGAAGGGAAGGGAGGAGAAGGCGAAGGGAAGAGAAGAGAAGGGGTTTCGGGTTTAGGAGAGCTGGATGTTGGAGGCCCTCTGCTTGCAGCCTAACTGCCTTGACTCTCATCTCTGTGGTTTTGAAGGGACCCGCCTCCCCACTCTAAGAGGGAGTGCGCCACTGCGAGGGGAAAGGGAGAGACGGAAACAGTGAGTAAGCACCCCGAAGCCACCATCTGCATACAGATCGACAGACTGGCTCGACTGGCTCGACTGGCTTGACAGGCTCGACTGGCTCGACTGGCTCGACTGGCTCGACTGGCTCGACTGGCTCGACTGGCTCGACAGGCTCGACTGGCTCGACTGGCTCGACTGGCTCGACAGGCTCGACTGGCTCGACTGGCTCGACAGGCTCGACAGGCTCGACCGGCTCGACCGGCTCGACCGGCTCGACCGGCTCGACCGGCTCGACCAGCTCGACAGGCTCGACAGGCTCGACTGGCTCGACTGGCTCGACTGGCTCGACAGGCTCGACTGGCTTGACTGGCTCGACTGGCTCGACTGGCTCGACTGGCTCGACAGGCTCGACTGGCTCGACTGGCTCGACTGGCTCGACTGGCTCGACTGGCTCGGCTGGCTCGGCTGGCTCGACTGGCTCGACTGGCTCGACTGGCTCGACTGGCTCGACTGGCTCAGCTGGCTCGACATGCTCGACTGGCTCGACTGGCTCAGCTGGCTCGACTGGCTCGACAGGCTCGACTGGCTCGACTGGCTCGACAGGCTCGACTGGCTCGACTGGCTCGACTGGCTCGACTGTCTTGACTGACTCGACTGGTCCTCAGGAGCAAGGAGAAGGAAGGCGGATGTCAAGGGGAGACGGGAAAGGCGCGGCATTGCTCAGTCAGTCCCTTTGTCACGCTCAAGGGAATCTAGCAGTCAGCCATACCTTTAACCGGGAAAAGCTTATAACGAGTACAGACTACCACAACTCATGCTCCCTCTGCAGACGAACGAGGGTAGCGGCGTCTTTCCTGCCTTTGATTATGTGCAACAGCACCAGATCCCTCACTGTTGCCTTACTTAGTCAACCAGCAGTGAAGGGGGGAAGCTTATATTGAGTATAAAATCTTGTACCTCGTGTTGTGTCTGCATGCGAACGAGAGTAGCAGCATCCCTCCTCCCTTATACGATGTGCAGCAGCGCCATGTCCCGCAGCGCCGCCTTGCTCAGGGAGGCTAATGTCCGGCACTTACAAGCAAAACACCTCACCTCGTGTTCCGTCTAGTGTCTGCATGCGAACGAGAGTAGCTGCATCCCTCCTCCCTTTGACCATGTGCAGCATCACCAGATCCCTCAGCGCCGCCTTGCTTAGGCCCTTGATAGCTAATGTCCGGCACTATCAAGCAAACACCCTCACCTCGTGCTCCCTCTGCATGCGAACGAGGGTGGCGGCATCCCTCCTCCCCTTCACGATATGCAGCATCGCCAGATCCCTCAGCGCCGCCTTGCTCAGGCCCTTGGTCGCGCTCGCGGGAAGCTTGGCGAACGCCTCGTCCGTAGGCGCGAGGATGGTGAGGCGGTAGTAGCTGAGGGCGGTGGGAAGCTCCTTGGCTATACCTGCGTAGCAGAGGGAGAGGAGGAGGGGGCAGGGGCTATTGCGCAATGATATGAGCTTGTTCAATCCGCGGCATCTGTAGGCGCGAGGATGGTGAGGCGGTAGCAGCTGAGGGCGGTGGGGAGCTCCTTTGCTGTACCTGTTAGGTGCGGTAGGGGTGGGGGAGGGGGGTCGGGGGGGGGGGGGGAGGTAGGGACACACAGTGCGCGCATGTAAGCTCCCTGCTCAGGCCTCGTCTGTAGGCGCGAGGTGAGGCGGTAGTAATTTAGGGCGGCAGGAAGCTCCTTGGCAATACCTGTTTGGTGCGCTAGGGGTGGGGGAGGGGAGGTTGGGGGTGGGGGGGGAGGTAGGGACGCACAGTGCGCGCATGTAAGTTGCCTGCTGAGGCCTCGTCCGTAGGCGCGAGGATGGTGAGGCGGTAGAAGCTGAGGGCGGTGGGAAGCTCCTTGGATATACCTGACGGAAATGCAGGGAAATGTGGAGGGGAGCAAGGGGGAGTATTTTTAAGGTATTTTTTAGGCTTTTACCATCGTTTTACCCTCGAAAATGCGGGGAAGCGCGGAGGGGAGGAAGGGGGAGGAGGGATGCTTGGCGAACGCCTCGTCGGTTGGTGCGAGGATGGTGAGGCGGTAGTAACTGAGGGCGGTGGGAAGCTCCTTGGCTGTACCTGGGGGGGAGGGGAGGGAGGAGGAGGGGAGGAATGGAAGCGCAACAATCAGAGGGGATTCACATTCCGCAACGCTAGGCGCGTCTGTAGGCTCGAGGATGGTGAGGCGGTGGTAGCTGAGGGCGTTGGGAGGCTCTTCGTAGCAGCCAGACCGGTGGAGGGGAGGGGGGACACACTGTTTGTTATGAAAATGACTTTTGAGTCGACTCAAAATTCACCCCGGTGGAGGGGAGGGGGGACACACTGTATGATATGAAAATGCAGCTTCGTTATGAGGTATAAGGAGAACGAGGACGCAGCAGGGGTACCTGTGGATTCCAAGAGTGAGAACACCGTGATTAAGCCTTTCTTCTTCATCCCCGCTAAGAGCATTCACGCGGAGGCTTCCAACAAGGAGGTGTTATAACGAATCCAGCCTGTAACGAGAACGCACGCTACCTGTGGATTTGAAGAGGGAGAGCGCCGGCTGTAGCCTCTCTGCTTCATCCCCCTGTAAGCTTCTACGCGGAGCCTCCTAACAAGGGGTCTTAAAACGAGTATAGCATTCAACTCGTACGAGGTATACCTGTGGATTCGAAGAGGGAGAGCGCCGTGTTGTAGCCCTTCTTCTTCATCCCCGCTATAAGCTTCTTCGCGCCGGTCTTTCCGTCGTACAGAGGGGAGTCGCTGCCGTCCGCGGAGCACGGCTCCGCAAGAAGCGCCGCAAACAGCGCCGCGAAGAGCGCCAAGAAGACGACGCCGAGCCGCGAGGGAGAAGCATGGTGACGCGCCATAAGTGACGAACGGATAGCTGGTTCAGCAACTGCGAAGTCGTAGCGAATTAGTAGAGATTGCAACTAAAGAGTACACAGCTCGGAAACCAAAACGTGAGACCAAAATGCGAGACCTTTGACAGGCGAAGAGACACCCGATTGGCGATTCACGACATACAAGAAACTGGCCTTTTCGCCGCAGAGCGCTGGCGGAACCTGAGCTGGTTGTACCTTACTCAACTGACTCACGCTTTCAATTCAGTAGTTGCTGTGTCTGCACTGCCATACAGTGTATGCACTTGCACGCTTTAGCATCCTACAGAAACCAGTAGGGCTAGCACAGGAGTGAGGAGGTAGAAATATTTACGGAGAGGGGAGGGAGGGAAGGGAAGGGAAGGGGCGAATTTCCTGTCAAGCAAGGGGGTTGAATTTCCCTTGCGAAATGCACGCACCTGAGCCATTCACATGTCAAGTAATGGACGGCGTGGATGGCCGTATAGACCAAGTCGGTAGTGGATGGACGGAGGAGATAAGGAACAAACTTGGTTGGGAAGGGCAGCGGTAGGTCAGACATCGGTTTTGGTTTGGGGGGGGCAGGGGAGATCCGAAGAAAAGGAAGTTTAGAAATGGAACTGTATCAACAAGAGACTATGCTTGGAAAAAGCGTAAACGAACCCGCCAGGGAATGATAATTAAAAGCTAAAGCTAGGTTTCGCAATTTTTGTGTACTTACCCCGCTGCAACGGAACGAAACTGCCCGACGAGGAGCAAAGCGCCGCCGCCGGATTCGTCGAAGCGCAGGTATACCGAACCAGTTTGGCCAGGTGCGGTGAGATTAGAAGGCTCTACCTTGACCCGTTTGGACCTGCACTCCCCAATAGACCTTCCCATGGGGGCGATTAAGGACCCGCAAGTGAGCTATTCGCTGTGAGCATTTGTGGGATATAGGGGCATAACGCTATGTTCAACACTCAACGTCTAATGCATGGAGTGAGTTTTGCAAACGCACATCTCGCTGACACAACCACCCCTCCCAACCAGAGGCAAACTATGTATCGGCTTTATACACATACAACACAACGGATACCTCACCATTTCTCCTTCCACGGCCTCAGGTCCACCTCAAACGTCCATCCGCTCCTCTTTTGCATATGCAATGACCAATACAAATCCGCCACATCATCAGGTTGCACCAACCCATCCACCTTGTCCTTCTCCCAAACCATATCCGGAAAACTTTCCCTGATCCATGGCGTGTCAACTGCCCCATCAATTACCACATGGCTGACATGTATCCCCTGAGGCCCTAATTCTTTAGCTAAGCATTGAGCCAAGGCTCTTAGTGCATGCTTAGCTCCCGAGAAAGCAGAAAAGCCAGCAGCGCCCCGGACGCTTGCAGTCGCACCAGTGAAAATAATCGTGCCGCTGTTTCTGACAAGCATCCTCTGAGCCGCCTCACGAGATGCGAGGAAGCCTGCCAGGCATGCCATCTCCCAGACCTGGAGGTTTGGAACAGGACAGTTCAGAGGAATTCAGTTCGGTAAGTAAACCCTCCAAATTGGATAGCCAGGCGCCAGAGTCACCCAAGGCCAGCAGGGTGCTAAACACCCGTGCAGCCAACAGCAATGGACAGCAATACAGGGCACACAAGCAGGCAACACACCCTGCAATAAACCCCTGAAGTTGCGTCAACAGCGTCGGGCCTTCAGAGTAGCCCAGATCTTGGAAAACCATCATATGCATGGGAGCTATCTGTCTCTCTACCCTTAGTTTTGAGGCGCCTCAAAAATAGTCTCAGTTTTGAGGCGCCTCAAAAAATAGTATCAGTTTTGAGGAGCCTAAAAAATCATCACATGGATCGGAGCTATCTGTCTCTCTACCCACCAACAGGGAACACACCTTAAGGTTAATCCTCGAGGTCGTGTCAACCATGTTGAACTTGACATTCGCTCCGATGTTGAAAACCAGCACATGGATTCCTAATTGTCTATCTCTTTCTCCCTCCCCACCAACAGGCAACACACCTTGAAGTAAACCCTTGAGTTCGTGTCAACAACGTTGAACTTAACATTCGCTCCGATGTTGAAAACCATGACATGGATCGGGCCTATCTCCGCCTCCACTGTAGCAACCAGCTGAGCCACCTGGTCTGGAGGCAGGAAGGGAGGAAGGGGAGAAAGGGGGTAACGAAAGCTGAAAGCTGTGTCAATGACAATTGCTCCGATGTTGAAAACCATCCCATCGGGCCTATCTATCTCCTCCTCCACTGTAGCAACCAGCTGAGCCACCTGGTCTGGAGGCAGGAAGGGAGGAAGGGGAGAAAGGGTGTAACGAGAGCTGAAGGTGTGTCCATGACAATTGCTCCGATGTTGAAAACCATCCCATTGGGCCTATCTATCTCCTCCTCCACTGTAACAAAACAACTGAGCCACCTGGACTGCAGCCAGAGAAAACGGGGTGGGAAGATGGTATTGTGAGAACAACACTGAACTTTACATTTGCTCCGATGTTGAAAACCATAACATGAGTCAGTCCGGCCTATCTCATCTTCCCCTGCAGTGAACAATTGAGTCACCTCTCCCCCTCTCCCCACCTTCTCTCCTCGCATCAACGCCAAAACCCACCGCCTTTCCGCCATCCGCTGCTATTTCAACCACCAGCGCTCAAAGCTTGGACCAATTCCCTGCACCCCCTGTCTCATCCCAAACCTTCGCCCCTCCCATCAGCACTCACCCTCCCCCTCACCTCACCTTCTCTCCTCGCATCAACGCCAAACCCAACCGCCTTGCCCCCATCCGCTGCTATTCCGTCCACCAGAACTTGCAGCTTGGACCCGTTTCGCCGCACCACCACCGCCACATACCCTTCCCTGGCGAACCGCCGAGCCACTGCCGAGCCTATGGCGTCTCCCGCGCCTATTACCAAAGCTACAGGTTCGGCAGAAGGGGGTTCTGGTCCGGAAGTTGATGACGGATGATTTGAATCTCGCGAATCTGCTTTGAGCCCGGACGCGAAAATCCAGTGCAGCGGTGCTGTCGACGTGGCATCTGTTGATTTGCCGGCGATGGGACCAGCGACGGAGGCGGCGGAAGCGGCGGGGCCCGAAATTCGACTGAGCGGAGATCGAGCGGATCGCGCGCCGTATTGTGCGGAAGCATGGGAACGGGAGACGAATGGGGGAAAATCGACCTCATCGCCTTTATCGCTGTCCTCGATATAGAATCCTTCACGGTCAGGAACGAGCGAGTCAGCTCGAGATTTTCCGCAAGGCTGAGAAGCCTGAGGAGCAATGTGGCGGGAAACGACGCCGAGACGCGAACAAGCGATTTTTGAGAACTCTCGAGAATCCTGAGCCTGAAACATGACAGACGAGCCGCCGGACAGGCGGCTCCCAGATTCCCAGCAGCTTACACGCCGGGGCGGCGGATTCGCGAAAAGACTACGAGGAGGAGGTTACTAAGCGGCTCCGCCTCTGCTAGAGGTGTACTGTACTCCGTCGTGAAGTATCCCGCAAGACAGAACGATGGGCCCAGAGTATGCGTGCAAGCTTTTGGCGGGAAACATATGGTTTTCTGGGTGTGCGCAAATGCTATATTATGTGGTGACGAGAAGCGCGGAAAGGGATGGTGAATGCTGCTACATGGCTCAGCAGCCAACTATGTAAATTGGTAAAGGGAAAGTATACAGGCGCTTGAGTATTAGGGGCCTCGATAACATGTACGGTAAGTGACACGATATAAACAATCAGAATTAGCGAGTTTGTAACATGTTTAATCAGTCGGGTTCCATCTTTAGTCAGAAACTGCAGGAAAAAAGTTCCACGAATGGTCAGTAGAAGTAACCCTGGCCGTCGAGGAACGTTTTCCCGCTCGCGCCAGCCCAATTTCGTCATCATTGCGGCTGGCGCGATATTTTTCCCGAGCTCCAGGCGCAGTTAGAGCGAACTACGTAAAGTATTCCCAAATAAAAAATCATCTGTTTGTCGAGTGATGAACACTGAAACTGTTTACCGAAGTAGCATTCTACTCGTTCAAATGCGGTTTACGTGTGAAATACCGTATCAGTCTGAAAAGAGGATATTCGATTCGCACGGAGATAGCCGCACCTCACGGGATTCTCAACGAATGACAGCATTGCAGGCGTGATTTTGTTTGCTTCTTTGTGTGGGGCTGTGTGGCTGGATAGGTCCCTCCAGTGACGAGGCAGTACTGCACGTGACGAGTCAGTACTGCTTCCAAAATCTATACTGTAATGTAGAGTTTGTCTCAACTGGTCTGCCAGTTGAGAATGAGGGAACCTGATTGGACGACGATCAGGTAAGGCAGGAAGATTTTTTAGATTTCTTGTGTGGCTTCCTGGCTCTTCGGGGGTCGGCGGCAGGGGAGGGCGGGACGGAATGTGTGGGTCTGATTTGCATGAGTTTCAGATCTCGTGGGACAATGCCGTTGTGCCAAAGTGGAAACAACCGACGTCAGTACATAGGGGACCAGCCCCCTAGAAACTGACCAATTTCTTTAAAACCCGTGGCCGCGGATTTTAAACCCCAAGCAGAACCCCTTTCCACTTGCTCGTGACTTCTCGCCCTTGTCAGAACTGGGTCCATTACAGCTGTAGATATGTCCGCGTTTGTCAAGCATGTCACCAGCTTGTCAAAACCAGGGCCGAATGTGGGCGCAATCACCGAGAGCCTCAAAGTAGCCGAGGCTGGATCTTTTACAGTGTCGATACCATTCTACCGCATCTAATCACGTCGAAACAAACAGACACCCGAAAGGACGCTGTAAAACCGATTGACAACGCGTTGCGACATCCCTTAATCCGGTTTGTACTTCGATCGAACCCTCTCTGAAACTCTCCCGCATTCGTTGATGGCCAGGCAGCTGAGCTGGAGGTCAAGGTGGGCAGCCGCCACAATGACTCCCCTCAACCAGGGCTAACGGGAAATATATCTTCTGCCCAAAATGTGGCTCTCCTCCATCCCTCTTGTTCCCAGGAAGGCCCATCTGCTGCTGCCATGCCAGCTGACCAATCGGAATCCCTCAACCTCACCGACGTGGGATAGGATCACAGGATTCTGGAAGATGTGTTGTCCATCCCACGAGTACCCTCTACCCTATCCCATCCAGTTTTCTGACATCCTCATGACCCCGCTCATCTAGTCCCGTTCCCAACACACGTCACACGAAGTGACGACGTGATGTGCAAGCCAGTCCCTAAAAAAACCGACAGCCACATCAGCTTCGGACCATGATGCGCACCTGGGGCAAGAATCCACGTTGGCAAGGGCATCCCTCCCTCACTCTCTGGTTCCACATATTTTTCCACTTCACCCTGGGTCAGGGGCTCTGTATTTCACCTTTGCCTTTTTCAAACAGGTCCGCCCGATATGCAATGTTCTGCGCCAAGATGACACCCTATGCGGTGTACTGTACGGTAATTGCACCTTTGCTTAGCTCTTTTATCAGCTTTCTACAGTGAACGTTTCCTGTCTGGGTTGTACTAGCTTTTTTTGCGAGTGGCTCATGGGTGCTACTCCCTTCCGGGTTTCTTGCATCCCTCGGAAAAGAATCTCATTGTCTGGTTCTGAATGCATTTGCCTGATCTCCTACTCCTTGATCGTCCTTTCCTAGCATTACCAGCACGATACTGTGCTGTCATCATTTGCCTGGGCTGTAAATTGTACCGGGTGCCCCTACAGCAGGGCTCAGGCTAACAAGGTAGGTTTCCTTAGTGTATCGAAATTAAGAGCTGTTTACGACCTGATACCGTCTGACTAACGGATTACTTTTCGTGTGATTCCTTGATATTGTGGGTTACTTTTCTTTGATTCCGTACGAAGTGCAATGCAGTAGGAGATCTCTTCGTAGTGGTATGTCACTCCCCCACCCTCCCCTCTACTTTTCCCAGCTTCCTCCAGTAAGCAAAGCGCGAGGCTAGTTGCCTGGAGTTTTTCTACTCTTCCAACTACCTGAGGCGTAGTATCCGTGAAAAACGGTCCCTGGGGTTTCGATAGCTTTGCCTTAGCCCTGGCCAAGGCCATTTGCCTTTAAGGATTTTAGTATCAAACCAAGGTAGCTCTTCGACGAATCCGTATGCTAACGGGTATTTTCGGGGCCGATTCCGTAACCTAACGGAATACCCTAGGGCCTAGGCTTAGCGAGAGCCCTGCCCTTCAGAATTGACGTGACGGCCCGTCAGGAGTCGAGGAGGAGCGTGAGCCATCATCACCCTGGAGTCCAGGGCCTGGACGGAGCCTGGTGTGGTGTGGTGTAATGCAGTGTGGTTTGATGTTTTTTAGTGCGTTGTGGTGTGGTTTGGCCGCCCCTTCCCTCCCCCCTCCCTCTCCTCCTGTTTCTCACGCATCTCTCGCTGGCCCTCCTGCCCCCTCCCCCTGACGCGGGCCATGTTGGAAACCTCCAGGCAGAAGGGCCCAAGATTCACCCGTCACCTTACTGAAACTGCTCTAAACGTTGTAAAACATACAAAACCGCTTTCTACCTCTTTGAGGGGAGTTCGAACTACATCCTTCAACTTGTTCGGTTCTGTACCACATCCTCCTCGCCCCTCCTCGCCGCTCTCACGCCTCCCATCCCACCCTACAACCCAACATCCACTGCCAACTGACCGCACACCGCCATAGAATCCGCGGCTCTGTCATTGATTTCAGCCTTGGACATAAGAAGCCATGTGTTCTGATGTAGTTGGGCACAATTTCGCTTCGCTTTTGCAGATCCGTGCAATTAGATCTCAGACGCTCCAATCTCGCCTCGCGGACGACCCTTCTATATTACAGAGAGCGGGAAATATATAGTCGAAGCTTTGCTGCCTTCGTGTTGCAAATTGATTGCTTTCCGCTACGTATTCCGTGGCCGCCGGCAACTAAGCCTGATACAATGGCGCTCCAAGTCGTGTGCAGCAAATCAGTATCACCTCCGTTCTTCATACCACCAGCTGACAATCTTCACGATCGACTACTAGTACATTCCACATCTCAAGCTAACGCCGGCGTGAGCGTCGCTGACGATTTGTCAGCACTACTTTGTCAAGAAGTTCTGGAGCCGATTAAGGATTTCAAGTTTTCCTCGAGTTCGTCTCTCTGTTCAAGGAGATCTCACGAAGAGAAGATGTCATTGTCCAAGGGGGAACCTTCAGTCACTTGCTTGGGAAAGATCAAGAGCCACTTGCTCCAAGAAGCGCTTTCGTCGGTCCAAATTTCAGTCGAAGTGGCGCCGCCGGCGGCGGTGACAGATTTGAGGACGGAACCGCCGTCGTCAGAAGCACACTGCATGGTTCGGGCAATCGAGAAGACCGGCGGCGAAGAAGTTTTTCATCGCAAAACGCTCTCCGAAAGCGAGATCTTCTACACGCGGCTTCAATCGTCGCACGAAGCCGGCGACTCCACAAACGCCGCGGCGGCGACGTCGCCTGAAGGATCGCCTTCGTCGCCCGGATCTCCCGCGCCGCCCGAAGCGGACGCGTCGGCGAGTTCGTGCCCGGGAGCACCGATTAAGCGGAGGATGGACGACGGATCGCGCCTCGCTGCTATTGCAGATGTCGTTAAGTTCCGGAAGGCAGTCCGAGAGCTGAATTTCGGGTTCAATTTTAACGGCTTGGAAGTGCTGCGTTCGTCCTGCGATGTCGCGCCGATCGCGAGGATGGCGACGTCGCATGAAGGGTCGCATCCGTCGCCTGCGAGACCGCATCCGTCGCCTGCGGGGTCGCATCCGGCGCCTCCAGGATTGCATGATTCGCCGCCAGCGTCCGCTGCGGCTCCTGAAGCGGCCACGACAGCAAAAGTCTACCCGCCGGGAGCTCCGAAGAAACGGAGACCGGGCGATAGGTTGGATCTCGCTGCTACCATGTCGAAGACCAAGAAGTGCCGGATCGTGTCGCGGAAGCTTAATTTCGACGCAGCTTCCAGCCGCATACTTCTGATGTGATCGCTACCTTCCAGCCGCATACTTCTGATGTGATCGCTACCTTCCAGCCGCATACTTCTGATGTGATCTGAAAAGCCTCCGACAATTGGCTTCGAGCTGCATACTTCCGATGTGATCACTGAGTGCCTTCCAGCCGAGTACTACCAAAGCTTCTGACACTTGGCCTCCAGCTGCATATTTCCCATGAAATCAGCTTCCGACACATACTATACCCCCGTGTTTGATGGTTTCTGTCCAAGCTCCTAATTTTCGCTGACTCGGCGAAGCATGAATCGAGTGATGCAGACTGATCCGATCCGGCTGAATTCATGCGGGACTGGTTTCATTGGTTCTCGGTTTTCAGTGGCCTAGCACGGATCGACATACGAGGGATATTTTATCGAAGCTCCTTGCGTGCTCAATTCTCAGCATGCAAGTTCCTTTGCTTTTGGCCTCAGGCGTTCAGTTCCCCGCCATGCCCGTGGGGAGACTCCAGGCGTTTCGCTGGCCGCCAAGTCTTAGACGGGAGGGACGCGACGGCCGCCTGAGATACCGGCCGAGTGACGGCGAGAAACCTTAGGAGAGTAAAGAAGCGTCCGACCGTGGAGGCGCGCCGTTGAGTAACCTTGAGATTTCAAGCCAAGAGAATAGGAGCCTGGACAAGGGGTCAATGTATGTCTTGTCAGCTCTCAAGCAGCTGACTTCTGTCAAGGAGTTCTCTTGTGTGATATTTTATCGAAGCTCCTTGCGTGCTCAATTCTCAGCATGCAAGTTCCTTTGCTTTTGGCCTCAGGCGTTCAGTTCCCCGCCATGCCCGTGGGGAGACTCCAGGCGTTTCGCTGGCCGCCAAGTCTTCGACGGGAGGGACGCGACGGCCGCCTGAGATACCGGCCGAGTGACGGCGAGAAACCTTAGGAGAGTAAAGAAGCGTCCGACCGTGGAGGCGCGCCGTTGAGTAACCTTGAGATTTCAAGCCAAGAGAATAGGAGCCTGGACAAGGGGTCAATGTATGTCTTGTCAGCTCTCAAGCAGCTGACTTCTGTCAAGGAGTTCTCTTGTGTGATATTGTGTGTGGGTGTGCATTAGGGCGTGTCCAGCGGGTGGTTAAAACCCTGCCCGACCGTTTTAGATTCTTTATCAATCCTTCTAATTGTGTGGCACCTCACCCAACCGCAATCAAACATTCGCGCTGGAGGACAAGCCCTTCTAATATAGTATGTACTGTATGATGTCCTCTTTACAGATTTCTGCTCACGGGAAGTAATAGGATGTTTTTTCACTGCAGCCTGCTTGCATAACGTAACAGATCAGTTAACAAAATATTGTCCACTCAACAAAACAACTAATCTGTTTATGACCGCATGAAAGCAACGGAAGGTTGTCGGTGCTCATAAATGTCAATTTCACTATGCACACCAAAAACTATTGGAAGCTAGCTAAACAGTGTGGACTGTTGTTCCCATCAACCGTTTTTTTGTTGCCAATTGTGAAAGCACAAGCACAAGCCCTCCCATTACAGAGTTACGCAGTCCCGACTGCTGTCCCCATGGACTCGGTTTTCTCTGCCACCGCCTTAGTGACTTCCTTGGATGCATCTTCCAGAGACCGAACTTCTGCACCACCTCAAATGCCTCTATGGTGTCGCCCTGCTGCCACTCATTCCCCCCTCTCCCCCCTCCCCCCCAAAGCCCACATCCCTGGAGTTACAGAGTTACGCTGCACCGACTGCTATCCCCATGGACTCGGTTTTCTCTGCCACCGCTTTTGTGACCTCCTTGGAAGCATCTTCCAGCGACCGGGCCTTCTGCACCACCTCAAACGCCTCGATGCTGTCGCCCTGCTGCCACTCGTCAAAGCCCTCCAGACCCACTCCGCACTCCAAGCCAGCCACAACCTGTTGATGGGGGTGAGTAAGGGGGTGAGTTGATGGGGTTGCTCTTGAGGCGCCTCAAAGTCGTCTCATTACTCGCAGCCTGTTGATGAGGTGAGTAAGGGGGTGGGCATTGGGGTGAGCATCGGGGGTTGATTAAGGGGGTGAGCATGGGGTGAGTTGATGAGGTTCGGGGGAACCCAATGCACCAACTGCCGCGATACTTTTGAGTCGACTCAAAAGCACGCCCTGCTGCCACTCATCGAAGCCCTTCAGCAGGCCCACTCCACACTCCAACCCAGCCACAACCTCCTGATGATGGGGGGGGGGGGGTAGGGGGGTGAGCATGGGGGTGAGTTGATGGGGTGAGTTGATGAGGTTTGGGGGAACCCAATGCACCAACTGCCGCGATGCTTTAGAGTCGACTCAAAAGCACGCCCTGCTGCCACTCGTCAAAGCCCTTCAGCAGCCCCACTCCACACTCCAGTTGTATTTTGAGTGTGGGGGGGGGGGAGTCCACACTCAAGATACACAACTGTCGCCCTGCTGCCACTCGTCAAAGCCCTTCAGCAGCCCCACTCCACACTCCGACCCAGCCACAACCTGATGATGGGGGGGGGGGAAGGGGGGTGAGCATGGGGGTGAGTTGATGGGGTGAGTTAATGAGGTCTGGGGCAACCCAATGCACCAACTGCCGCGATGCTGTTGCCCTGCTGCCAAACTGCAACCCACCAAGCCACCACCCGGTGCTGGGGATCGGATGAGCATGAAGGAAGAGTAAGGAAGGGAATATGCGCGTCTGCCAATGCCCTGAGAGTGCTTTTGAGGCGCCTCAGCCTCCCCCTCTGCACCCAGCAGTTTTGCGACACCTCAAAACTAGACTCTAGACAAACGTCGCCCTAGAATCCACTCCCCCACCGCCCCTCCTCCGGCAACGACAAACCGCACGCAACCCCTCTGCACCCAGCAGTTTTGCGACGCCTCAAAACTAGACTCTAGACAAACGTCGCCCTAGAATCCACTCCCCCCACCGCCCCTCCTCCGGCAACGGCAAACCGCACGCAACCCCTCTGCACCCAGCAGTTTTGCGACGCCTCAAAAATAGACTCTAGACAAACGTCGCCCTAGAATCCACTCCCCCACCGCCCCTCCTCCGGCAACGGCAAACCGCACGCAACCCCTCTGCACCCAGCAGTTTTGCGACGCCTCAAAACTAGACTCTAGACAAACGTCGCCCTAGAATCCACTCCCCCCCCTTGCCCTCCCCTCCTTCTCCCCCGCCTCACCCCGCAACCCCTCTGCACCCACCATACCCCTTAAGCAGATAGCTTATCCAGAGAAACAGCTCTGTACCCTTTATAAGCACACCTCCTTAGCGAGTTCCTTGACTCATCGGAGCGACGTGAGTGTACCCGAGTGGACCTCCTCCTTCCCTCGAATGACCGCCACTCCACACCCCTTCACGAGCTTCCCGACCTTCACAGATAGATTTATACTCGTTTTAGACATACCAGCTTTGAACCCTTTATAAGCATACCTCTTTGGCGAGTTCCTTGACTCGTCGGAGCGAGGTGAGTGTACCGGAGTGCACCTCCTTCTTCCCTCGGATCACCGCCACCCCACACCCCTTCACCAGCTTTCCTTCCGTCACCATCACCCCCGCCACCTTGCTGCTGCCCGCACCAAACACCGCCCGAACCTCCGCCGAGCCTAATGGCGTGCGCTCCTGCAATTTCGAAGAGGGATGGGTCGGAAAGAGGGGGAAGAAGAGACAAGGGAGGGAAGGAGGGAGGAAGAGGAGGACAGAAGGGAGGAGGGAGGACAGAGGGGATTGAACATGAGATGTCACTGGGTTTAGACACTTCACTTAAAGCCCACCCCACACCTCTTCACGAGCCTCCCTTCCGTCACCATCACCTCCGCCACCCTGCTGCTGCCTGAACTAAACACCGCCCGAACCTCCGCCGAGCCTAGCGGCGCACGTCCACACCTCCAACTCCTTCTCTACAGCACACACAGCACAAGACATACCTCTACAGAGTCCAGCAGGCCCTGGTTAAGTAGGTTAGTTTTGAGACATCTCAAAACTCACCTCCACCCCCTTCTCCACAGCACCCACAGGACAAGACAAGACGTACCTCTACAGAGTCCAGCAGCCCCTCCATCGCCTTCGATCGGCCTTCAATCCGATTGAACCGTAGATCACCCGGCAAGTCCGCACTTGAAGCCACCACTCCCCAGCACCCAGCACAGCACCCAGCAACCTCAGCACGAGATGTGCCTCAACAGAGCCCAGAGAACTGTGCTTTTGACCTCCCCACTGTGCAAGAGTCCAAGACTCACCTCTACAGAGTCCAGCAGCCCTTCCATCGCCTTGCGGACGTCGTCAATGAGATCGTAGATCACCCAGTACGTCTGCACCTGCACGCCCTTCACTACAGCAACCACAGCACGAGACGTGCCTCAACAGAGCCCAGAGAACTGTGCTTTTGACCTCCCCACTGTGCAGGAGTCCACGACTCACCTCTACAGAGTCCAGCAGCCCCTCCATCGCCTTGCGGACGTCGTCAATGAGATCGTAGATCACCCGGTACGTCCGCACTTCAACGCCCTTCTCCTCTGCTGCTGCCTCCACAGCGGGCGGCATGTTCACGTTAAAGGCCAGCACCACTGCCTCGCTGGCAACCGCCAGGTCAATGTCGCTCAGTGCCACGTCACCAGCAGCCTGGGGGACGGGGGGTGGGAGTTGGGGAGTTTAGGGGGCGGGAAGGGGGAGAGGGGAGCGGAGGGGAGGGGAGGGGACGGAGGGGAGGGGAGGGGAGGGGAGGGGAGGGGAGGGGAGCGGAGGGGAGGGGAGGGGACGGAGGGGAGGGGAGGGGAGGGGAGGGGAGGGGAGGGGAGCGGAGGGGAGGGAGGGGACGGAGGGGAGGGAGGAGGGGAGGGGAGAGATAGTGGGGAGAAGGGAAAAGACACGTCTTATATGATGCTTCCTTCTCCTTTGCTGCTGCCCCCACAGCAGGCGGCATGTTGACGTTAGACGCCAGCACCACTGCCTCGCTGGCAACTGCCAGGTCAATGTCGCTCAGTGCAACGTCACCAGCAGCCTGGGGAGATTGGAAGCAGGGGGGTTGGGGGTTTGGGGGGGGAGAGGGGGGAGAGGGGGAGGGGGAGTGGGGTGGAGGGAGGATGCACTTTACAATGCGTTGACACAGTGTGCCTTGTGGCAGACATTGGTACAATACAGCTGCACTGTGTGCAGTTGCCATAGCAACTCTATAACGAGTTTCAGAGTACCGAATCTCACCTGCAGAAGAATTATAGCGAATCTCACCTGCAGCAGACCTTATAGCGAATCTCACCTGGCAGCAGACCTTATAGCGAATCTCACCTGCAGCAGACCTTATAGCGAATCTCACCTGCAGCAGACCTTATAGCGAATCTCACCTGCAGCAGACCTTATAGCGAATCTCACCTGCAGCAGACCTTATAGCGAATCTCACCTGCAGCAGACCTTATAGCGAATCTCACCTGCAGCAGACCTTATAGCGAATCTCACCTGCAGCAGACCTTATAGCGAATCTCACCTGCAGCAGACCTTATAGCGAATCTCACCTGCAGCAGACCTTATAGCGAATCTCACCTGCAGCAGACCTTATAGCGAATCTCACCTGCAGCAGACCTTATAGCGAATCTCACCTGCAGCAGACCTTATAGCGAATCTCACCTGCAGCAGGAATCGCAGCGACACCGTGTCTTGTGGCAGAGCCGCCAGAGCCTCACGAATGGCCTCCACTGCACCCTGGAGGGAGGAGATAAAAGGGGGTCGGAAAGGGTGAGGTGGGTGAGGTGGGTGGGGTGGGTGGGGTGGGTGGGGTGGGTGGGGTGGGTGAGTAGCAGCAACCTGATCAGCAGCAGAGCCGCCAGAGCCTCACGAATCACCTCCACTGCAGCCGCCGCTTCCACTGCATGCCTCCCCGACATGACACCAAACAAACATGATAACCCCAAACTGACCTGGTTGTCAACCTTCAAGTGGGAAGGAGTTGGATTCGATCCGCAGCAAGCCTTCCCATTTCGATCACGTTCAGCTGAACGTGATCGGCAGCAAGCCTTCAAGACCACGTTCAGCTGGTGGAATTCCTCGGGCAACTCCAGCCCCCCTCGACCTCGTCTCTCCCCTCTGACTGACCCATCACCCATAGACCTTTGACTCGCCCATAGACCCACCCAGAGCTTCTAACCAGAGCAGACAGCGACACCTTCGACTCGCCCTGCTCTCATGCCCACCTCCATTCAACCTGTGTCCAAACCCCGCACATTCACCTGTGCCACTGACCTGTTTGTCGACCTTCAAGAACACCTGGTTCAGCACCAGCTGAACGTGATCTTGAAGGCTTCACCACCTCTGCCACTGACCTGGTTGTCAACCTTCAGCTGGTGGAACTCCAGCCCCTCCTCCTCGCTCCCGTCCGACCCATCAGACGACGAGCCCCGCCCAGCCAAAATAGACAGGGACAACTAGAATCGCTGTGCTTCTCTCAACCCACCTGGTTGTCGACTTTGAGGATCACGTTGAGCTGGTGGAACTCTAACCCCTCCTCGTCGCTCACCGTCCGACCCATCACCCGTAGACCCCCGCCCCGCCAGCGCAGACAGCGACACCTTCGACTCGCCCTGCAGGGCCGCCAGCCTGGCGGTGCGCAGCTTCCCCGCAGCTTCCTCGGCCATGGAGCGCGCCCTGTCGAGGGAGTCGACCACCTCGAAGTGATCCCTGCCACCGGCACGGAGCTGAGCCCCAGGACCTGGGGATAAGGGTCGGAGAAATCGGGGAGGGAGAGGGGAGGCACTGAGGGAAGGGAGGAGGGGCTTTGAACAGCCCAGTCGAGGGAGTCCAGCACCTCCAAGTGATCCCCTGCCACTGGCACGGAGCTGAGTCCCAGGACCTGCGGTGAAATGGCAGGCAGGCAGGGAGAGAAGAGAGCGTGGGGTTTAGGGGAATGGTTGAGCCAAGAGAGTGCCCAGTCGAGGGAGTCCAGCACCTTGAAGCGATCGCCAGCCACCGGCACTGAGATGAGGCCCAGGACCTGCCGTGTAGTGAGAGAGCGCGAGGGTGAAATGGATAGGAGAGGTCAAGGCAGGGGAAAATGGATCTGAGCCCACCACCTCGAAGTGATCCCCTGCCACCGGCACTGAGCTGAGCCCCAGGACCTGGAAGAGGGAGGAGAGGAGTAATTCTAGTTTATTTTCAAGGGAGCTTTAAGGTACAAACGAGTGTAGCTCCATCCATGTAGGGGATAAAAGAGTTGTTTATAGAAATAACCCGTTAGACCAAAGTGCGTGTGACATTTTGTCCGAGACAACTTGAGATATCATTTGTGATATGTAAAAAAACCACCGGAAACGTAGAAACAACTAGCAGACCGATTGCTTACCTCGACAGCAAGGGAAGGACCAGCAGAGTCACTGCGGCTACCCGTGTCGTCCACCAGGGCTCGGATCTGAGGGGCGGAGGGGGGCGTGTGGAAAAAGGAGGTAGGAAGCAGAGTAGAGTGAAGGCGACTGCCCCAGCAGCCCCAGCAGAGTGGCTGCGACTGCCCGTGTCATCCACCAGCGCTCGGATCTGAGCGACATGGTGGGGTGTGTGGGGAGTGGAGGGAAGGAGAAGAGGCAAAGGGAGGTGCGGAGAGGCGTGAGGAGAGGTGAGGGCGAAGCACGAGAAGGAGGTACCAGCAGAGCTCGGATCTGAGAGGCATGGTGGGTAGTGGGTAGGGGAAGTGGGGAGGGTAGAGGGAAGTGGGGAGGGTAGAGGGAAGTGGGGAGGGTAGAGGGAAGTGGGGAGGGTAGAGGGAAGTGGAAGGACCTGGAGGGAGTGGAGAGAGTGGAGAGAGTGGAGGGGGCGGAAGGAGTAGAGGTGAGGGCGACCAACTGCAAGAGAAGGACCCAGACCAATTGCAAATCCGCTGCAGCTACCCCAGTCCTCCCTTCCCATCCCAATCCATCCTCACCTTGCCATACGCCTCCCCACACAGCACCACGTCTCCCAGCCTCAGGGTGCCGTTCTGCACCAGCAGTGTTGCCACCGGCCCCCTCTGCTTGTCGAGACTAGCTTCAATCACCGTCCCTGCTGCCTGTGTGTCGGGGTTAGCGCGGAGCTCTTGGATCTGAAAGAGGATGAAAGAGAAGGAGGACGAAGAAGGGCCAAGGTAGAGAGGGTTGAAGCACCAGCAGTGCCACCAGCAGCACTGCCACCGGCCCTCTCTGCTTGTCTACTCTACACTCGCCTCTATCACCGTCCCTGCTGCCTGTGTGTCTGGATTGGCACGGAACTCTTGTCTAAGCTCTTGTCTAAACTTGGTGCCACCAAGGCCACCGGTCCCCTCTGCTTGTCTACTCTGCCGCCTCTATCACCGTCCCTGCTGCCTGTGTGTCTGGTTCGCCGTTAGTTCCTGAAATGACCAGTTGTATTTTGAGTCGACTCAAAATATCACCGTCCCTGCTGCTGCCTGTGAGTCTGGTTCGCGCCCTCATTCCCGAAATGACTTCTGAATCCATCAGACTGGATTGACCTCATCAATCGGAGGCACAGCGGCGAGAGGCGAGAGGGACAGGAGAGGAGAGACTACTGTGGTATCACCGCCCCCCTACGCACTTTCTCCCTATGGTTGTTACACTCTCCGCTCGCTGCCCTCCACTCCAGTCTTCTCCCATCTCCTCCCATCTCCTCCCATCCTCCCCTCTCATCTTCCCACCACTCATCTCAACCGACAACGGAATCGTCTCAAGCAAAATATCCACCCCCTTCCCCCCCCCCCCC